GTGGAGCAGGCAGTCGCAGGTCCTTGGTATAGGTGTCCGACAATGCTCAGCCCTGGACACAGAGCAGGCGGAATGTCCTATTTGAGTCACGACACCAATGAAATGAATGATAAATGGTGCTGGTAGCAGCGCTGGTTACTGCATGGAAATGTCATGAGCTATGGCCACGACTACCTAGTTACAGAGAGCTTTATTAGGAGGAAGAGAGGGGTGGGATAAAAGGACCAGGCCTGCGGAGGAAAGAGAGAGAAAAATGGTGGGGTGAGGGGAGAGGGAGCAGAGCAGAGAGAGAGAGAGCAGAGAGAGGGTGGGGTCTGCGTCTGGCTTTTTAAAGGGGCAGATTATGTGATCACACTGCACTCCTGTAAGATGCAAGACCCTGAACTGTGCATGTGTAGCTGAAGTAAGGGCAGAATTCTAACAGGGAGGCCAATCAGAATTGAGACAAACAAGTACTAGATGCTTCAGAACATTAAAGATAGCCTACATCACTTGTATATAAGTTTCCAATTTCCTTGCAGGGATGCCAGTAACAATCCTGGTTTGGTCTGTGCCTCACTCCTGCCCCATCAGAGGTTTAGAATCCAGAATCTGCCCCTGTGGCTGCGTTCCTGCTGAGCTACACCTGACCTGGCTCCAGAGAGTAGCACCTAGCCCTAATCCATCCTTTGTGTAACTGATAACTTTTGTTTCTCTAGCCACCCTATGTGAATCTTGTCTGAGAGTTTCCTTAGGATACAAAGGCCTATGCAAAACTTGGTTCAGGAAACCTGGAAAACCATGGTATCTGAGAAATCGAGGAATTTGCACTTGGCATTGTATCTTTGGGAGCTCCTTTCAGGTTGTTTTGAGCATATGGAAATTAACTGGCCAAACTGTAAATATAGAGAAAATAAAAGTGCCATAGGCAAAGGGAAAGTGCTCCAGTCCTTCGAGGCTGGACCCCCCTGCAGCCATTAATGGCTAGATTCATTCTTAAGATGTCACTGAGTCTTCTTTCTATGGATCCATATGAACCCATACACCCATGCTGGGATATACATCGACAATTGGTGCCCAACACCACATTCGTGTCCTGAAGAAGGACAAAGGGTCTGCTGGAGAAGGACAGAGGAGCTGGCTGTCTTAAGAACTGGAGGGAAGTGCTCTCAGGGTAAGAGGACTCCAGGATTGGCAGGGTCATGGTGCATTTAAACTCCCCATCTCAGGAGCAACAAAATGTACAGTTGCTAAAATGCTTGTCAAAAGAAAAAGTGGTAACTGCACAATTTTAAAAGATAGAAATAGAATGGCTCCTGAGACAGGAAAAAGACCTTTTTCAATAGAGAAGAGGGAAAGAAAGAAAATAAAAAGGGGAATTTTCCCAATAGAGAAGAAGGAAGGAAAGGAACTAAAAATAAATTTCCCAATAGAAAAGGAAGAAATTTTTAATCAAGAAAAAGTGATTTTCCCATTAAAAAGTGGGAAAATATTGAAACTATGTCTAAAGATTATAAGGCCTTGTAAAAGAAACATAAAGGAAAGTAAAAAGCCTCTTTCCAGTAGAAATAGAGGAAGAACCGGCTCTTTCTGATATAAAAATTTCAGGATAGCTAATACTCAGAACTCTTTCTGCCTGCCAGCACAGAGCTGCAGCATCTGAATTACATAGAACAAACAGGTGGACCTCACTGCTGCAGCCTGAACAGCAGGCCCAGAGATTAGAATTTTGTTGTCTGTTTGCTTAACTTTGGTTTAAATGTTTTTTATTTTTCCCTCAGAGTGAGAATAACTAAATATTAAAGATCCCTTCATGGGAAATGTTTTCTGTTTTCCACTAATGGTGGGAATAATTCATTATCAGTAGTCCCTTCATGGGAGAAAGAGGAAGTTTAAACCGACCCAACTTCCGGTAAAGAACGGTTGAGGTCAGGACATGGAATGCTAAGTCAATGCTGTTTGAATTTCCAGGGATATTAATCATTCAATATATAAGGATGTTCTCTTCTTTTGATTGTTTAATAAACGTTTAGATGAATGATTGATTTCCATGGTAGATAAACTAAAGGAACAAGATCCATAATTTTCAACTATATATTAGGTATGCTCTTGTCTGTTGATCATTACTGAGAATTTGGCTCTGCTCTTTAAGTTGCTTTCTAGAAATTCTTGTTTAAATCTATAGAAATGTAACACCTGAAACAGATTGGGTTGTTAGCTTATTAAATAATGTGATTGCTAGGATAAAAGCCCATAGAAAATAATCCGTTACTGATAAAGAGGTTACAAAAATTTTTTTCCAGTAAATAAAATACAGTTAAATTGTTTCATCCACATTGTTAATAATTGGTGATTTGCATTAATGTGTTACTTGGGATCTATAAAACAGGATCCTCTTTTTAAGATTTTATAAAAATACTCCAGAGTATTACCTAAAGTTACCTCTTAAAATCCTATAGATATTGTATTTAATGTTTTTATAGATGTCATATGTAAAAAGGACCATGGAAATAGAAGCTGGTGATAGAATTGCTCAATTATTATTGCTTCCAGATCTTAAAGGCAAAGTTGTGCCTATATGTAGAACTCCAAATAGGAAGTATTTTTGTAAGTACAGAAAAATAGATGTTTTGGCAAATAGTTATCAATGATAAACAACCTAAATTAAAAATAAAATTTAATGGGATTGAGATTGAAGGATTATTGGATTCCTGATGTATCTATAATTTCACAAGAATACGAGGATCCCATATGGCCTCTACAAGAAGTCTCCACTCAATTTGTTGGCATTGGAACCTTATCTCAAGTAAAATAGAGTATAGAGTGTATTAAATGTGTAGGGCCTGAAGGACAGGCGGGAATGTTAAAGCCTTATGTGGCTGATATAGCCATGAATTTATAAGGAAGAGATTTGTTACAACAATGGGGAGCTCAAATTAATAATACTACAATTTCAGAAACAGCTCGTAAATTGATGTTTAAATGGGGACATATTCCTGGAAGAGGCCTCCGGAAAAAAATAACAACACAGTCTTAGCAGGTTGTACAAAGGTAAGGTAGGACAGGAATTGGCTATCCAAATTTACAGTAGGTATCTCTGTGGATAGCTCAACTGCTCTGCCTTTAAAATGGCTAACCAAGAAGCCTGTATGGGTAGAGCAGTGGCCCTTAACTAAAGTAAAATTGCAGGCACTTGAAGAACTTGTAAAAGAACAGTTAGATGCTAAACATCGAGGAAACTACTAGTCCTTGGAATTATCCTGTATTTGTAATTAAAAAAAAAAAAAAAAAAGAAGTCTGTAAAGTGGAGATTGTTAACTGACCTAAGAGCTATTAATAAGATAATTCAACCTATGGGATCCTTACAGTCTGGGATTCTGTTACCTTCTTTATTACCTAAAAATTGGCCTTTTATAGTTATTGATTTACAAGATTGCTTCTTCACCATCCCTTTACAAGAACAGGATAGAGAAAATTTTGCTTTTACAATTCCTACTTACAATAATGCTCAACCACAAAGGAGATATCATTGGAATGTCCTCCCACAGGGAATGCTAAATCGCCCAATCTTGTGTCAATATTTTGTAAATCAGCCACTAGAAGTGGTACGTAAACAATTTCCTCAATCTATTATTTATCATTATATGGATGATATTTTTGGCTGCTTCTGATAGATACCTTAGAAAAATGTTTAATGTAGTACATTAAAAATTTACTCTGTTGGGAATTACAAATTTCTCCTGAAAAAAAAAATTCAAAGAGGAGATTCTCTTAGCTATTTAGGCTATAAATTAAGTAAACTGAGAATTCAGCTGCAGAAGATACAGACTAAGAGTGCTCGACTGCATACTCTTGATGATTTTCAAAAATTATTGGGTGATATTAACTGGTTGTGACCAACAGTTGGATCGTCTACTCAAGAGTTAACATAATTTGTTTCAAATTCTACAAGGTGACTCAGATTGAAACAGTCCAAGACAGTTAACAGCTGAGGCTGAAAAAGAGTTAGCCCTGGTAGGGGGAATAGAAGGAAGTGGGGAGGAGAGAGAGATAGGAAGAAAGAGGGAGAGGGGGAGAGAGAAAAAGAGGGAGGTGAGTGCTACCTCTGGCAAGAGGGGAGAGAGAGAGGAGGAGGGATTTTTCCCTCTTAAGGGGGTTTTAATGTAAGATGGCATCAGGATGCTGGGTGTGTCTCCAAAGGGCAGGTCACTAACTATGTGAGCGCTGGGAATCGAACCCATGGAGCCAGTGCTCCAGCCCTGGGATATATTATTTTAAATGCCATCTATGCTTCATATAAGAACAAGAAGGGCCCTGGGCTCTTCCGTCTGGACCCCCATCTGTTGATAGCCCCTCTTGGCCTCACTCTCACACACTTCCCCTCCTCCTTCCACACCCTAGCTTCAGCCCAGCCCAGCCTTAGCTGGGCTCTTCTAGCTGGGCTGTTGATCCCTGGAATCTGATCTGGGAAACCAATCAATGGTTGACAGCTTCCAAAAGAACTGTGGCTACCAAGACCCTGCCTTGCTAGGGGGCAGGACTTGGCTGCTGCCTGCTGTGCTGCTGGTGGACACAGGATTCCTTGGTGCAGAGCCTCCCAGGTCTTCCTCCCACACCAACATGCATAGGAGCTCTGGAGAAGTTCAGGGACACACCTGGCCCTGGTCTCCTGGCACCTGAAATCCCACGTTAATGATTTTTTAAAAATACAATATACCTTGTCCTTGGAAGGGCAGGAGGGGCTGAAAAGGTGGGGCTCCATGTCACCTTTGCTCACAAGAGTCTTTTTCTCCCACCACATGAGGGATGGGTCAAGTCCTGAGGATCTGGTCCCCGTGCTCAGGTGGCCCTGACTCAATTCCACTGTGCGGTTGGGCGACTCAGCCCACTTTTCTTGGCCTCCTGCCCAGGCTAGGAGGAAACAGTCAGGTCTGGGAAGGATTGGCTGGCGCAGATGAGCCCAGCCTCCTGTCATTTCCTTTAGGCAGTGAGCCAAAGACAGAGAGGTTCCAGAAGAGAGAGAGGAGCTGTGGGAGAGACACGGCTCCTGAGAGAAGGTGCCAGGCTAGGGGAGGTGGACCTGAAGGGTGCTGTCCTGGGTTAGAAAGAGATCTGACCATGTCTGGGGCGGTGTTGGGGAGCCGGATGGCTAAAGCGGGGTGGCTCCAGTGATCCAGCTGATCCCGAAAATACGGTGGCTTCTGGGTAGCAGCTCCTACAAATCTTAGTGTCATCCTGCAGTTTGGGACACTATTCAGACTCCCCTCTCCCTGTCTCCCCTTGTCATCTGCCTCTTGTCCTACTCGTCATGTCCTGTTTCATGGCCTCTCTCCTGCACTGGGGCTCTACCACCACCTGATCTGACACCAGGTTCTCACTCTCCATCCCATCCACCATTACAGGATGCCCCTGTCACAGTCTCCAACCCCCCCACCTCCCAATCCCCCGTCCACCGTTACAGGATGCCCCTGTCACAGTCTCCAACCCCCCCATCCCCCAGTCCCCCGTCCACCATTACAGGATGCCCCTGTCGATTCCCTGAGTTCAGGAACTCACATTCTATCATCTGTCTTGTAGGATGCGACATCTGGACCTATCCTGGCTGGGACTGGGGCCCACGTCAGCCTCACCATGGCTTCTCTTTGTCTTGGTTGGGACTTCCTGGCTCTTGGCCCACTGCCTCATCCAGATCTTCACTTTGTATGGAAAGTGTCATCGTCTCCGTGGTTTCTCTCAGCCACCCAAGAGGAATTGGTTTTGGGGTCACTTGGGCATGGTGAGTGCGGCAACAGGATGGGTCAGGGGTGCATAAGGGTGCAGGGAACTCCCAGTGGTCAAGGAGTTAGTGGTAGGGTGGCCTGGGATCTGGGTATGAGGGTGCATGGACAGAGCCAGGGATTGGCGTGGGCTGGGAGCTGGGGTTTGAGGGTGCAGAGATTCCCCCACAGATCAGGGAATTGGGGGTAGAATGGATTAGGGTCTTTGTGTGTTCTGTCTCAAGCCTTTCTCACATCCGTGTTAGCCAGAGACCTGCTTGGCGCTCAGGTCTCAAAGAGAATGTGTGGAGTCAGTGAGGTGTGGGGAGAGATGATCCAAGGTTGAATCAGGATGGTTGTCAACAGCATTTAATTGAAAGAAGAATACACCTTCTATAATCTATAGTTGCACATAGGATTAAATGGGAGAGAAGAGGGCATGTGAGCTGGGGTGTGGCTTGAGATCAGTGGTTGAGGAATCTACCTTGACAATAGACACCAGTCATGTTAACGAAAGGGCCACAAGTTCCACTTGCCAGAGATAAGGAGAATGAGTGCCTTAGCAAGCAGGAGCTTTTCTCAAGCCCCCGAGGGAACGGAGACCCCTGTCCAAATGCCTGACCTTGGGAGAAGGACTTTTGGGGACCAGTCACTATACTACAATTTCTTAGTCTTACTATATGGGGCTGCTGCCCTCATAACGCTCCCAAAAGGAAGGGCCTGATGTCCTACTCTTTTCCATTATACCATATTATTCTGATTGCCCTGTATTTATTAACTGAACTCTTGTCCTTATGGCCTCAATCTCTGGAGATGAATTGTAGGCTTTTCATCCTTGGGATCAGGTGTGTCTAGTAAATCTTTAACTTTCCCGTTCTTGGTGTAATTAGGAGGGCGCAATGGAATTCCTGGTTCTGTGGTGGGGGGGATTTTTTTCCAAAGAATTATTTTGTTTAGAGAGTCTACCATTGTACACATTTTTGTCATTTATGAAAGCCTGCACAAAATTTCCCAAAGGGAAAGACATTAATGTCAAGAATCATTAAAAATGAAGGTAAAGAGGTGCTGGAGAAGTGTGGTCCGCAATGATGAAATGCTGGAACTTTGTCAAGCAGCAATGGTTGCCATACAGTCCGTGCCAACTGTTCTCCATCCCTAGTCTACTCTGGATTTATTTCTAGCCTGTTTTACCTGTCTAGTACATACTGAAGTGCTCCCAGCATGGGCTGCAACAGAGCCAGGACCCCTCACATTCATGCACTGTCTGCTGCTCAGGCCTCCTGAAGGGCCCTGATTCAGAGCCAGCTTCCTGTCTGGTCAATTTCCTTCTGTTAGTCCATCTCTTGGTTTCTACTTTATTCCAGAAAGGACTTTTATGCCTCCCCTAATATTCCCAGGGCACAGCTGGGTCATAGGAGAGTTCTGTTCTGATCCCTCACCTCCAGGATCGTACCTTCCTTAGATTGTTCTTTTCAGCTAAGATGGATCACTGAGGCCAGTTACAAAACCTGGATTAGAGTGTCCACTCATCCTTCCATGAGCCTTCCCTGATTTTAACCTTTACCCAGCACTTGGACTTTGACATAGGTCCATTCTTTGCATTGGTTGACTTGGTCTCAGTTGCTTCATTTACAACTAGCAGAGCTCACAGCATGCACACAAGTCCTTGCAACCATGCATCCTCTACCCTTTGGGAGTGGTTCCTGATTAGGTGAGCTGCCACTCCCATGGAGATATAGGGGTCCCCTCTGCTGTCCCGAGGTCTGCTGAGACTGTGCCACTGCTAGGGCTCCAGTGTTTGAACCCTTCTGCATAGTTGGAACTGAAGACTTGGGCAGGCAGAAGAGCATGTGAGAGAAACCTTGGGGACAAACCCTGAGGCCACAGTGTGGTCCACACATGTCCCTTCCAGAAGCTTGAGGCTTCTGCTGGGGCTGAGAAGTTCATCTTCTCAAGACAAAGGGGGCTTCTCTGAGGCAGACAGTGTGACAATGTAACTTCTTTATTGAATGTAAGATGCAGGCTTGGTACGGAGACATGACTGATAGCTACAGAGCAAGAAGAAGCAGGGATTCCCTCCTGCATCTTGCAACATCCAGATGCACGTTCATTGCAGAGGCTGTATTACCTCCAAAGGCTTCAGGAGGAACCTGCTGAAGGTGCTGAGGGAGTGCACCAGTGCCCCCAGGGAAGCAGAAGCAAGGCATGTACATACACACAGTAACACCCACAAACACCCCCCACACACACACACAAGTCCACACACACACATTTACACATGCACACACAAACATCATCTTGCACTAGTTAGCAATAGGGACAAATTCTAAAAATTCGTCACTGGGTGATTTTTGTTGTTTTCCTAACACTACAAAGTACACTTAGTCAAACCATCATGGAGGAGCCTACTGCAGATCTAGGTTATGAGAGACCACTTATTGTTCACAAATACAAACCTGTATATTACGATACTATTGAGAACACTGCAGACAAGTTTTAGATCATGGTATTTACTTAGCTAAATGTATCTAAACATAAGAATAGTAGCAAAAGTTGTAAACCATAGATAATCTTCAGGTCTGTTACAATTTTATGTAACCAAGGCAGTATTTACAGTACGTTGTTGGTTAAAAAACAACAACAACAACAACAAAACATTATGTGGGCTGGAGAGACGGCTCAGTGGTCAAAAGCACTGGTTGCTCTTCTACAGGAACTGGGTTCCGTTCCAAAGCACCCACATGGCAGCACACAACTGTCTATGATTCCAGTTCTAGGGGATCCGACACCCTCACACAGACCTCGATGCAGGCAAAACACCAATGCACATAAAATAAATAAATAAGTCATTAAAAATCATTATGTAGCACAATTCTATACATAGTTATGTAGATAAACAAACCACACAATACACTTATAGCATGTACAGGTATGCAAATAAGAATGAGAAGGAGGTAAGATAGGTAAATAGATAGATGATAGATAGGTGATGGATATGTGTGTGTGTGTGTGTGTGTGTGTGTGTGTGTGTAGTTACATAGAGTTTGGACATATGTAATAATGGAGATTGAGAAATCCCACAATGACACACGTAAATTAGAGGACCAGGAAGCTGGTGGTGTAACAATGCAGTCTTAGAACAGAGGCCAAGTATGGAGTGGAGTGTCAGATATAAATGCTGGAGTCCAAAGATCAAGGACCTCAATTTTGATATCTAAGGGCAAGAGAAGCTGGACGGTCTCAGTTTTGGAAGCAAGAGTGAATTTTCCCTTCCTCTGTTTCTTGTTTCATTTGCATCCTCAGTGGGTTGGATGATGCTCCTAATACTGTGGATGGTGGGTCATTCTGACCCAGTCTACTAATGTGAATGCTAATGTGTTCTGAAAATAGCATCATGGATACAGCCAGAAGTCAGGTTGCATCCTCTTTTGTGGGCATCCCCTAGCCCAGCCATTCTGATCCCTGAAAAGAGCCATCTCAGAAGGGATTGCCCTTGTCTTTTTTTTTCAGTCCCCTCCCACAGAACAAGGCATGAAGGAGATGACTGAGCTGGTGGCCACCTACCCCCAGGGCTTCATGACCTGGTTAGGTCCAGTGGTTCCCCTCATCCATCTGTGCCACCCTGACATCATCCGGTCTGTCCTCAGTGCCTCAGGTACCCACAGGAGCTGGTGGTGGTGTGGCTGTGGGAATCTGAGAACTTCTAGCCCGGACTTCCATGCTTCTGTGTGGCCCCTGCAGTAACCTCATCTTTCCTTCCGCCGTCTCTCTTGGCCTTTCTGCTCTTTCATGTGCTCACCATCCCCATGTGAGTCCATGTGAGTCTCTTCTTCCCCCACTGCTGTCATCCCCCCCCCCCGCCCCCGCTGTCCTAGCATTCCTGGTACCCTTGGGATGCCAGGAGACCACTAGCAAGGCTCTGTCCTAGAGGAACCCATTTGGAGGAGATAACAAGGACACACCAACCACCTGTGATCAGGAATGACCCTGAGGAAGATGGGTGATGGCAGAATGGAGAAGTGAGGTCTGCTAGGGCAGCTAGGGAGGCTTCCTGGAGGAGGAGACATGACCAGAGGCCAGAGCAGTGACAGTCCAGGAGAGAGAGCTAGGCATCTGGAATGAAGACATCCTACCCTGATGCTAGGAATGTTTAAGTAGAGGCCGACTGTGCAGGGCCTATGTATGACTGCAGCCCATCCCATCCCCAGGCACAGCAGTGAGACTGCTTATGCTAACGTGGGAATCCAGCTGCTATTTCTCCATTCTTCCGCTTCCTGTGTTTTGCCCATCATATGTTCCTTGCTCACCAGCTAGGCCCAGACTCTCTCTTAAGAAATTCCCTCCAGCCTGGCCCTTGACATTACTGTACAGGAAAAGCTGAGGACAGAGGAGGGAGTGTTCCATAGTGCCCATGGCTCAAACATCTGCCAGGTAGGCCCTTGGCTCTCTCTACAAGCCTAGGTCTCTGTCAGGTGTGAGTGTAAAAACTCACCTGGTTTGATGGAAGGAAATAAAGAGAATCTCTAGACTATAAAGACCTGGGAGGATTGTCTTCCAGCATGGCTGGATCCAGCTTTCAAGCAATGACATAAGAATCTGTGTCCTTAGGTCTGTTTTACCTTCCTGTAGTCCATTTTCTGTTTTATGAAAGCTTTTCATCAAGGTCCAAGTGATGAGCCTCAGACATTCATTTCCATGGGGCAGCTTGCCTCTCTCCTGGATTTCCCAGGAGTTCTGGGCTTGTAATTAATTGTAATTTCCTGACCTGAGCCACAGGACAAACTCCTTTTTAAGTCACTCTGCCTCTCTTTGGTCTTGGAAAGTCTGGGGATCCTGGTGCTAGTGTCTGGGGATGCACGGGTAAGGATTCAGGCTATTGGTGCACCATCCCAGGCTCAGGTCTCAGATATTCCACTTACTGTGTGGGAGACTGTGGGCAGGGGACTTGAGGACCTGGAGAATGGGTGGAAGAGAACCCAGGTTAATGCTGTGTTGGGGATCCTGAGAGTGAATGTGTCTTTCTGTCCCTCTAACTGAGGGTTGAGGATTACTGAATATAAAAGATGTCTGGAGGAAGTTGTGGCAGAGCTCAGCACAGAGAATGAGAAAGGGTTGGATAGTGTTCTCAGGGCTCCATCTGCCTCATGCACAGGGAATCCACCTCTCTGGTAGCCTCTTTCCTCTAATTCAGAGACAGGAAGACAGTGTCCTGTACAATCACCCTAGTGTGCACTGTTGGGGAGGCGTGCTGGAGGGGCCCTGGCTGGTGGCCATTTGTGTAGTCTTCACATGGGTTTCTCTGTGGAGCCCCGGCTGTCCTGGAACTCTCTCCTTCCCCTTCTCAATCTGGACAACGTGTTATGAACTGTTATACATCACCACAAATGACTCTGAAACCATTAGCCAAAAAGCGATTCCTCATTTAATATAATTTCTGGGACACACTGAGATTCATCATACTTTATATTACATTAGGTATGGTGTTTTATACCTAATGTAACATAAAGAGAAGATTATGTGTGTTTTAGCCATGTTAGCACATGTTAGGTCATGTGCATCTGTGTCACATGTATACTTCAGGAGATGACAGAAAGTGCTGGATGGATGGAAGTGCTAGGTCTGTGTAAAGGTCTCCAGAGTGTTGTGCTGTGTTGGCATGTTAGACTGTGTAGGAGCCATGTAAATGCATACTTGGGTGTATTATGCAATGTCGGGCCGTGCTTCTGTTCTACCTCCTTCTAAAGCTTGGTCTGGTTCCCCCTTACCTGTCCCCTACTCTCTGCTACCTCTGTCCTTCCCCCGAATCTTGTCATGCTGGTTTGAGATGGATATGCACACCCCTGATGAGGGCACCACATTTTCCCCAAGTTCATTACCTGCATTCTCCTGGCCCCTGATTATCCTTGTTCGTGTCAGCTGCTGTTGCCCCAAAGGATGCCATCTTCTACAGCTTCCTGAAACCCTGGCTGGGTGAGTCCCTGCAGGTGAGATGATTGGGGACAGCCCTGGGGCTCAGAGAAAGGTGCCACCCTTGCCCACTGCCGACGGTCACCCTCCCAGGGGACGGGCTTTTGGTGAGTGCTGGTGACAAGTGGAGCCGCCACCGTCATATGCTGACACCCGCCTTCCATTTCAACATCCTGAAGCCGTATGTGAAGATTTTCAATGACAGCACCAACATCATGCATGTGAGTCCCTGGAACCGAGGTTCCCAACTGGAGTGTGGGGGTGGGCGTGGGCATGGGGGTGGGCGTGGGGGTGGCATGGGACTGCAGACAGATCCAGTCCACAGTACTGGCTCTGAAGGGCATCATGCTGGCCTGTTGTAGTTTTCCCCCAAGGTTTGATTTCTCATATGTGATTTAGGATTAAACTCTTTGCTTTTTGTCTATGATGATACCATAGAGGGTCATCTATGTGGTAGGTGCTCAGGTGTTAATTTTTGCTGCCCTGAAAACTGAACATAGACGTGGTCTGGCACTTCCAAATACACTGGCTGTTTTTTCTGGACAGTTCTAGGTCCCTGGTGTTTTATGGTCAGCTGTGGATCAGGTGGGCAGCTCAGCTAACCTGGCTCAGCTCTGCCATGTTCAGAGCATACAGACTTCAAGATAACTTAGGATGGACTCAGTGGGGAGAACAGGTGTTTCCATGATTCTCTTCCCCTTCTAGGCACCCGAGGCTTGTGGCACAGAGTTCTGTGGGAGTGAGAGAAGCTGGATAGGGCCAGAGGTTTAGATTTACCTGAAACTGTGGCTTTACCATCTTACCACTTTCTGTTGGTCAAGTCATAAGTGAAACACAAAATCAAAAAGGGCTCGAATAGGCTCCACCTTCTGCTGGACATTGCTGGAAAATCACACTGTACTGGATGTGGTACCTGAACAAGATAAGAACTGGGGTGATGGTCACAGAATGATTCCTGCCTTGAAAACTGTTACGTTAGCTTGTTTACTTGTCATGGATTTTTGCTAGAACAAACTAGATTCTGGGGTTAGATAGAAAAGCCAGACTTTAACTCACCACACTGCAAATAGCATGTATATATTTCCAGCTTTTATCTTTTCTTCAATGGGCCACATTCCACGAGAGCAAATCAAGTGGGCTGTAATTGGAGTGCCTTACATCCTAATACAATATAATAATATTATAATAATATGACTGGGTCTTATGAATTTTAATAATAAGCGATAATAAATATTACTATATATAATAAATGTTATTGACTCTCAGGGAATCTGCTTTTATAACAAGCAGAAATTAGTCTTATTTTTACCCATGGGGAATCATTGCTGTATCTATAGGTTTTCTGTACTGACATCTGAAAATAGCCCAAGTTAAGAACATCATGACAGTTCACTCTTGGCATGTCTAACAAAATTTCTCAAGGAACAATGGAAGTCTAGCGTTCTCAACAAAGGGATAGTTTTGAAATCCATTTATGGCAGTGACAATGAGGGGGTACCATGCATTGAGTTCTTATCATAGGCTGGAATTGATGCTAAGATCCAACCAATCCAATTATCTATGCTGGCCAACTAATTCCACAAGCCTGTGAGGTACGTGGGTTACCTTTTTCTCCTTAATGATAAACCTGAGGGTCATATGTATCAGAGACCTTGTTCAAGGTATTCTGCAGGAATTGAGCACATGGTGGCGTACGGTTTCCTCTCAGTTTAGCAGACATCAAAGCAGATCAACTAAAGATGTGACCGACAAGAACCAGGAGAGGGAAATAAACTGACTGAGGGAGCACAGAGCACAGGAATCAGAGCTTGGACTTGAACTCAGGACTTCTGAACCAGTCTTGGGTCTTCATCTGCTGTAGTCACAACTTCCACAATTACTCGGTTGGGGTTGGCTGATTTGAGGGTGTCCATTACAGGAGTGGCGCTTGGGCAGAGTCTCAGGGAGCCAAGATCCAACAGCATCATTCTCTCTCTCTCTCTCTCTCTCTCTCTCTCTCTCTCTCTCTCTCTAACTAAGGCCAAGTGGCTGCGCCTGGCCTCAGGGGGTAGCACTCGTCTGGACATGTTTGAGAACATCAGCCTGATGACCTTGGACACTTTGCAGAAATGTGTCTTCAGCTTCGATAGCAACTGCCAGGAGTGAGTTCCAACTCTGGGCCTTGGAACCCAGTCTGTAGAATCAAGGCAGGAGATGGAGGAGGCAAGGCTGTCTAGAGCGGCGGAAGAGAATCCATGGAGGAAGTGGGTCAGAGCTGACAGTGAACCCGGGGGGCGGAGGTGGGGGTGGAGTAGCCCCATCCATGAGGTGAAATTGTCCAGAAAAGGGAACAGAGATTCAGATGACACAGGTCGTGGGCCTCCGGCATGAGGCATTTTGGGATGAGGTTGAAAGAGTAGACAGTAACTAAAGCATACAGACATGAAAGCCAAGGGAAGTGTGGAACTTCATACCGTGGTTTCTAGGAAACCATGAAAGCTCTTCATTGTTCTGTCTCTGTAACAAAATACCTAAGATTACCAAATTGAGGAGGTTTTTTGTTTGTTTTGTTTTTTTTTGTTATTTGGGAGTTTTGTTTTTTGCTCATGGTTTCAGTATGACTTGATTTCACTGCTTTTGGATCTGTGCCCAACATTATATCATGGAGGAAGCATGTGTTGGAGGAAACACAGGCAGCTAGGAAGTAAAGAGAGACAGAAAAATGCCAGGGTTTTAACATCCCTTTAAAGGCACCCCCATAATTGAAATGACCAAGGTAATACCATCCTGTTCTGACTCCATTTTATGTTTGCTTAGATATTTCTCAGCCCTCCAACCCTCTCCCCTCAATGGTCACATCTACCTAGGCAACACATTTGAGCGTTCCATGACCTTGACTAGGGTATAGATGTATCAACCAAAAGAACTGGCAAGCTGTGTTTAAAACAACCGCTCTGCCAGGAATGGACATAGTAGACCAATGATGAGTGTGACTAGACCAGAGCTCTGCAGATGATGACTGCCCTTTAAAAGAAAATGGAGTTGATGTACAAGGCCACAGGCCAACTGCAAGAATTGGTTTGTTCTGATCTGGGTGGACAATGTTAGGGAACAGGCAGAGCAGGACTGAACCCTGTGTTGGAGAGGAAAGAGAGGGGTCTGGTGTCCACACTATGCGGTGGATGCCTAGGGAAATGCCTAGGCTCATGGAATGGAATAAAGGGAGAGAAGAGACTGAGTTTAGGCTCATGCTTATCATGTGTTGCCATCTTTTCCAGATCAGCTGGGCTACTCAGTATCCTGTGGGGAGTTAGTTCCCACCCTCTGCAGAGAAATGCACCTCAGGCTTTAGGTCTGCTGCGTTCTTGCTTCCCTTCACGTTCTTCTTGTACAGGAAGCCCAGCAAATATATCGCAGCCATCTTGGAGCTCAGTGCCCTAGTTGTGAAAAGAAATGAGCAGCTGCTTCTGCACATGGACCTGCTCTACCGCCTCACACCTGATGGGATGCGCTTCTATAAGGCCTGCCGCCTGGTGCATGACTTCACTGATGCCGTCATCCAGGAGCGACGTCGCACTCTGCCCAGTCATGGTGGTGATGATGTCATCAAGGCCAAGGCCAAGTCCAAGACTTTGGATTTCATTGATGTGCTGCTGCTAAGCAAGGTGGGCTTCTTAAAGGTGCAATGGGTCCTTTAAACACTAATTAGTTGAGAGTTTTGTTTTGTTTGTTTTGTTTTGGGTAGAGTCTCACTGTATAGGCAAGACTGCCCTAATCTCATGTGCCTCTTGCCTCAGCTTCCTTAGTGTTGGGATTACAGATGCATGTCAGCCCTTTTGGCTTTAGTAGCTTTTTTGAGATGCATCTTACTATGTTGCCAGGCTTGTTTTCAGGGCTGGATGAATGGATCTGCCTGCCCCAACTTCTGACACTACATGCTTACATGACTCCTCATGACTTAAAAAAAAGATTATTTTTGTTTTATGTGTATGAATGTCTTCTTGCATGTATGTGTGTGTACCACATGTGTACTTGGTACCCTTAGAGGCCAGAAGAGAGCATTGAATCCCCTAGAACTGGAGTTATGGATGATTATAAGCCACCATGTGGGTGAGGATGCTTTTAATCATTGAGCAAGCTCCCCTGCTCCCAAAGCTTTATGATTTTAAAAGAATAACGGATGCTGGTATTGAATGTGAGATGATTCAACATTTTATATTTTCAGTAATGACTTGGGCTTGATGGAGAGAACATCTAGAAGCCATAGAAGGCATCTGAGGAAAAGAGAGGGACAAGTCAGGGAGAAACACACTGTAGAGAGAACACTGGGTACAGCCTTTCTAGGTCTGGATCTGAAGGGCCTTCCTTGGTGTCTTAGGGTTTCTGTTGCTGAGACTAAACACCATGACCAAAAAGCAAGTTGGGGAGGAAAGGGTTTATTCAGCTTATACTTCTAGATCATAGTCCATCATTGTAGGAAGTCAGGGCAGGAACTCAAGCAGGGTTAGAACCTGGAGGCAGGAGCTGATGCATAGGCCATGGAGGGATGCTGCTAACTAACTGACTTGCTTCCCCTGGCTTGCTCAGCCTGCTTTTTTTTTTTTATAGAACCCAGGACTGCCAGCCTAGGGATGGCACCTTCTATGATGGACTGGGCCCTGTCTCATTGATACTAACTGAGAAAATGCCTTGGAGCTGGATCTTACCGAGGCATTTCCTCAACTGAGGCTCCTTTCTCTATGACGGCTCTAGCTCGTGTCAAGTTGACACACAAAACCAGCCAGTACACTTGTTAAGTTAGTATCTGCATTTGGGTCTATATCTTTGTTGAGAGCTGCACATAACTTCATGATCAGTGCAGCTTACATATTATAGCAGTCATGCTATGAAGGTAGCAATCACTCCCTATTCCAAGATCTTTCTTTCCCAGGTGATCTGACTATTTTACCTGAATGTGAAGCATTATCTTAGTTACTGTTCTATAGATATGAAGAGGCACCATGACCAATACAACTCTTATAAAAGAAAGCATTTAACTGGAGGCTTGCTTACAGTTTCAGAGTGTTGGTCCATGATTATCATAGTGGGAAGAAGACAGGTTGGAGCTGGAGCAGTAGCTGAGAGCTTCACATCCTGATCCACAGGCAGCCAGGCAGAGAGAAACCCCAAAGCCCACCTGTGACACACTTCCTTCAACAGACCACACCTCCTCTAACAAGGCCACACCTTCTAATCCTTCCCAAACAACTCATTAACTGGGGACTAAGCATGCAGATATATAAGCTTGTAGTGACAATCTCATTCAAACCACCACAACAGGAGAAAGACCCACATATTATGAACCATGGAGGGTTATAGGAGAGCTAGCACATCTGTGTCTTCTTTGTTTAAGAGAGGGCAATCGGATGAACAATGAGAGGGAGAAGAAGAGGAGAATAGGAGAGGGGAAGTAAATGAAAGGTAAAGAGATAATAGGAAGGGGGCAGGAGAGCAAGCAAGGAGTATTAAGATTAATTCATAGCTATAAAATAATGCATTTCATTGTGGCATTTTCATTCACATAAATCACCCCACATTTCTCTCAAACTTTCTCAAATGAAGAGGGGATTTTATTGTTGAATATGAACAACTTTAATCAAGCACTATGGTAAATTTTATGGATTTGCAAACCTGATAGCTTCCAAAGGAAATAAGATAAATTCTCTAGATTTAGACCCAAGAATGGAACAGGAGAGTAGGAAAGGAATCAGAATGCAAGATGCGAAAAACTGGAGAGGGAACACATTTGAAAAAGACTAATTGAGAGATAAAGAAGGGAGAAGGGGAAGCTTACTTATTGACCACACACAGTGTGGCATCATCATCATCTTGCTCCTGTTTTTCTGTCAGTCTAGACCTTTCAGTCCCAAAGACGCCACCTTTGGCGACAAAGCAGATGGCAGTAGAAAACTGGTGAAAAGGAAATCCATTCTCCCCACCCAGTGAGCAAAGTGAATGACTTAGAGCAGAGCAAAGTGAATGACTTAGAGCAGAGCAAAGTGAATGACTTAGAGCAGAGCAAAG